TGACGAGGATTATTTGCCAGAAATTGAATTGTCTGAAGAGCCAACGGTAGTGTATTCTGTCACATTACACATCATTGCCAAGACAAGAATGAACAGAGGCTCTTGTCATTTGGGCCTTTGTTTCAATAGTGGAAGTTCTAGAATCTTCCGTCCCTTGTACCGCGCCGAGGAAAACCTCTGTTGTTGGGATCAACCTTTAGTGCTAGACAAGGAGTATATCTTTAATGTACTGGGAACCCCTGGTAAATCATTTACGCCTTTGCCACACAGCAATGAAGATTTGCTCGTTGACCATCGTTCAATGCAAATACTGGATTCAAATGTATCAAGTTCAGATGACGTTTTTACAGAACTACAGAACATGGCAAAACTCAGTGTGGAAGACATTTTTGGACCTAATACAATAAGGCAAAATAAGTATGTCGATGAGGGTTCAGACTGCCCTTCAGTGGGAGTTCTGAGCTGCATGGGTAGAGATCTTGAGTTGATAAGAGACCGCTCCGGTAAAAGGCGTGTAAAGATCTCTGGAGGATATAAACCCCCATTCACTGCTATCGATGCTGAAAAGAAACCCGAGGACCTACCAGACGAGCTACCAGACGACCCTACTTTGGTCGTGCTTGGTTTAACACGGCCATTTGCAGGAAAAGGAAAAGACCATTTTGACCCAAAAAGATGTTACATTATAGTTTTGAGGATTTTGCAAAATCCCTGAGCTGGTTGAAAGGCTAAATCCCGTGGAATATGAGCACAGAGAGCCCAAAGCAATTGGTGATTTTTAAACAAATTTCATAGCCACTTTAAAAGTATAATTGAAAACTTCTTGAGGTTTTTGAACATCTATAAAAAGCTGAGCGTATCATTTATTAACTAATAGACATATCCCGAATTCGCTTGACTGACCACGAAACAATGGTTTCAAGTCGAGGTTGAACTTGATGAACAAAATAATCAAGCCCAGTCTCGACTCCAAACCATTGTTTCGTGGTCAGTAAAGCGAAATCGGGATAAGTCTATTACATTTGCTGTAAAGATATATTCACATGAGAACCGACCTTGGGTTCCTTGTGGGATTGGTATATAGTTTATAGTTTGTAGGATTTTGCAAAATCCCTTGGCTAATGGCCTAAATGGCTGAAACCCATGGAATAAGCGCCATGGAGATCCCAAGGTATCTTATATCGAGCAACTGGAGCTTTCTTAACAAATTTCATAGCCACTTTACAAAGTATCATTGAAAAAGTCTTGAATTTTTGCTAAACATGTATGAAAAAGCGTATCATTTATTAACTACATACATTTGCTGTAATGATATATTCACATGAGAATTGAGCTTGGGTTTCCTGTGGGATTATTGGGCTAATTTTGTAATGCACTAGTCAACTGAAAACCCGACCCCACCTCCAGGTCGACCCCAGGACAAGGCGGGGAATTAATATTGGTGTAGTGTTAAATTTAGCACTTCCCCACGGTACCGGGGGTAAAGATTTGCCTTGTTCAAATTATGGAAGTTGTCGCGTTAAATTTCCCGCATACCCGTGCATTCACGCCGTTAAATGCGCGTTAAATCCCCGGTCTCGCCGCCTTAATTCCCCACTGTGTCCTGGGGGGTTTTCGATTGACTAGTACATAATGTATGTACTACATGGTTGAATGACATATATTGTAGTCTATATATAACTTCATCTACTTTCTCGATAGCATAAATCTAACTTCGCACTTTTAAAACATATATTTTATAGATCAGAAAACAATTAATACATGTGTTTAGTTTAATTGAAATTTATTGAAATGTGTTTAGTTTATTTAAAATTTATTGAAAATGTGAAAAATTTCCGTTTACAGTAAGTAATACTTGAGTAAATAAAGGAAACTGATGGCAGAGATTAACGTAGAATAAACGTGTAAAAAGCAACCAATAAACACACAGGAAGTAAAAACTTAGAGAACGATCGACAGCTACTATTATTGGTGTTAAACGCTGACCTAATGTTTTCCAACACCCTTGACATGTTTAATGGTTGTCCTTTGATCTCTTGTATACCTGTCAACCATTGGCTTTTCTTGGTATCGTAATATCGGTCGAGTACATTCAGAGACCAAGGAACATTTTTCTTCTTCAGCTCACTGGCAAAATACCGACCAAAGTTGATCACTTCAGCTTCGGTTAAACTCCCTTGCCCATTGTCTTGTGGCATCCATGCTCCAAGGTACGTCAGGACACCAGTGTTGGTGGTGAAGTCCATTGCTGGTTTGATGGCTTTGGCGACGTTTTCTTTGCCAACGGGTTCACCATCTCCACTCCAGTATTTTGGCCTGCCAACTCTCTTGTTAGGTCCTGAGGCGTATAAATGCCACTCGGCCATCATGTTTGAATCCTTCTCGTAAATAGTTTGTTTGATCTTGTCAAGATCTTTGGCTGTCTTTCCTGGTGATCCAAGAATCAAGATACGCTTCGCGTTGTTTCCACCCGTGGCACGAATAGCTGCTACAACATCGGATGTCCATTGGTTGTATTTGTCAGCCCTCATGCGAAGACTTTCACCACAATTTTCCTTTGTACCACATTCATCTATTCCCAGCTCGGTAAACAAATTAAAGCTGAGTCTGTAGTCCTTGTGTTTCAGCTTTTTGGCCACCTTTGTCCACCATGTTACGTAGTTCTGTCGATCTTCTTCACTTGCATACGCCTCAGCGTGATGGTGGATCCAGGAGATGATCGGAGCCACGCCAACCTCGAGACATTTATCGACTACTCTCGACAAATCTTTCAGAAACGAAGTGAAGTTAGAAGCGTCGTATGGGGCGGCGTACAGGTCTGCCCGGCATCGAAGCCTGAGGTTTCGAAATCCTTTATCATAGATGTCTTGGATGTTCTGGTCATTGTACTTGGACAACGGTGATTCTGTCTTGAACCAGTTGGTAGAAAATCCCTGTCCAACGAGGCCTTGGTAGACTGATGGACTAATAGGATCTGACGCACTGGTCGTTGAGAAGGCACCTAGCATCAGGAAGAAAGTAATTGGAACCATCTTCAAAAACGCGAGATAAAGAGTTTCGTTTGAAGGACAACTCTTAATGATTTGGTCTCAGGATGCAGTGCTTATATAGCCTGAAAATATATTAACATATATTGTTACGCAAGACTTGGTTGTTGATCGCATGATAGGCGGCTATCTCATCAAACGAGCTGTTTGATTTTTTTTACAGATCGTTTAATGAATCTTTTCATTGATSGTCTTTAAAAATTGAAACTTATTTGCTCAGATTTTCATTGCATTCCTATTCGAGGCAATCGTTACTATGGGAATAAATTCCACCCTATTCATCTCGGTTCAGTACATTTCTAGTTTGAATTTTGAAGAAAGATCGGCAGGGCACGTTTTACAGTGCGACTACTCCAACCAAAGCCACCTCGACAAATTTTCTACAAATTATGCCAATCAAAAGTAGGAATCTGAACAATAGAATTGATACAAATCGGACAAATATCCATGGGTTTACACGGCTGGGAAAACTGCCGGCACTTTCGTTGTGGAATATAAACATGCTGTCGCATAGCAAAATGGTGACAAGATCTAATAGTGTCAGGCAGATTATATCTTTGTCTGGAAGAAACAATCTGTAATCATAAAGACTGCGTTTTATACGGTTTCTAATTTGCTTTCCTGTCGTATTTGAAGTCGTAAATTACTATTTTTCTATATCTTTGGTGACACAAATCACTAATTTGCCAAGAAAATATATTACAAGCTCTTCTTCATCATTTAGCTTTACCAACCGGAACAACGGAAGAATATCTAAATTCAAAATTTGCCGCTAATCTATTGTCTAAATACTCAAACACTATTGGATAATTTGTAGAAAATTTGTCGAGGTGGCTTTGGTTGGGGTAGTCGCACTGTAAATCAATGCTCACGTCGTTAAGATACGATACAAGGTCAATGCAGGCTATGTGATCTTTCTTTTATGTAGTCACAGGCAGCCCAAACAAGGTTCCTGTGTATGAGTAGTGAACCCCCCCCCATATACCGTAGTAGCTAGGGGAGGGGTGGTCTAAATTCCTGACTACCCCTTAAGAATGTAGGGGGAGGGGTGGTCTA